ATTTTGATTTCTTATTGATTAAAATATTATCTAAACTTGTTGAGTGTTATCCTTTAATATCTTTTAAATAAGCTTTAATTATAACTCTTTTTCTTATCATAAAATTTGTATGGATTATATCTTACCTTTTGTTATTGTAATTATCTGAAAATAAAGTTGGAAGATTAATGTTTCAGCATGAGAATGAAAGGTTTTGGGCGTTAACTGACATGTTTGGTTCAAGTGATAAGTAATTTGATATAGTTTAAATAAGATATCGAGTTTGAGTCATTGTGTATATATAAAATTCATATTGGGATGCTCACCCACCAAAATCATGTATATAATACGGATCGATCCAGATTAATCAAGGCAAAACTTTAAGATCAGGAGGACAACAAAAAAAGTTTTGGATGTTTATCGAAAATTAATTAGATTAACGAAATGATATATTAAATCATTTAAATAAGATAAAAATTTGAATTACTAAGTGATACTTGGGCCACTTTGAGTCGAAACTGATGAGTAAAATAGACTCAGTAGTGTAGACGGGTTAATTATTTAGGCCAATTGACATTATATATTTTATTTTGAGAACTACGACATTTGTTATATTGACTTAGAACTCGTCTTATATGATGAGTTTTAATAAAATATTTTTTATTGTAATTTGTCACTATGATGTAACAAAATTCTAAACAAAATTATTTATATATTTTTGGAACTTATTATTTCGACATGATAAATTTGAATAAAAAATATTATTTAAATAAACTCGTTATGTAAACTTGACGAGTTTATCCTATACCACAACATTTATCATGGATCTCAAATTAATGTTTGAGATGATCTAATAGGTCGATTTTTTTACCCGCATGATGTATTGAGCTAATTTTACGAAATTGATGGACTGGAGGCCCAAACACGTAGAACTCAAGTCCGGTACGTTGTCAGACCCGACCCGATCATATCTTTCGACCTTAAGAGTCCCTTAAACCCTATCAAGTTTACCCGGATCGAATCCAAAAACCCTAACTTTCCTTCCATTTTACATCACAAGGAAATGGCGCTTCTCAAACCCGCCTTCCTCAACCACATCAAAATCCTCGCCAATCCGAGCCACCGTCTACCGCCCTCTTTCATTACCCTCCGCTGCCTCTCATTTAGTACCCCAGAAGACGCCGCCGCCGAACGCCGCCGCCGCAAGCGTCGTCTACGTGTCGAACCTCCGCTCTCCTCTGCCCAACGCTCTCAACAACAAGTTCAACAGGTTGCCCCACCGAGACCAATCCAAAACCCAAACGCCCCTAAAGTCCCTGAACCCGTAACCGCTCTCTCCGGCAACCGCCTCAACCTCCACAACAAGATCTTGAAGCTCATCCGAGAGAACGACCTGGAGGAGGCTTCTTTATACACGCGCCACTCTGTTTACTCCAATTGCCGCCCCACGATTTACACTGTGAACGCTGTCTTGAACGCCCAGCTCCGGCAATCGAAATACGCCGACCTACTCTCTCTGCATCGGTTCATAACCCTGGCCGGAATCGCCCCCAATGTGATAACACACAATCTTATTTTCCAAACCTATCTCGATTGCAAAAAACCCGATACTGCCCTTGAGCATTACAAGCAGTTCATCAACGAGTCCCCGGTTAGTCCTTCTCCTACTACTTATAGGATTTTAGTGAAAGGGCTGGTGGATAATGGGAAATTGGATAAGGCTATGGAAATGAAGGAGGAAATGGCCGAGAAAGGTTTGGCTCCTGATCCCATTGTTTATAGTTTTTTAATGTTCGGTTGTGCAAAGAACCGGGATTCAGATGGGATTTTTAAGCTTTTTGAGGAGTTAAAAGAGAATAAAGACGGGGTTCTGGAAGATGGGGTCATTTACGGGAGCTTAATGAACGGGTATTTCATGAAGGGAATGGAGAAAGAAGCTATGGAGTGTTATGAAGAAGTTTGTGGAGAGAATTCGATGGTTAAGATGAGTGCTGTTGCTTATAACTATGTTCTTGACGCACTAAGTAAGAACGGGAAGTTTGATGAGGCTTTAAGGTTGTTTGATAGGATGAAAAATGAGCATAATCCTCCTAGGAGATTAGCAGTGAATTTGGGAAGCTTTAATGTGATTGTCGATGGATATTGCACCGAAGGTAAGTTTAAGGAAGCCATGGATGTTTTCAGGTCAATGCGTGATTATAGATGTAGTCCGGATTCTTTGTCGTTTAACAATTTGATTGATCAGCTGTGCCAAAATGGATTGTTGGGTGAAGCTGAGGAGCTATATGGTGGAATGGGGGCTGAGGGTGTTAGCCCGGATGAGTATACTTATGTTCTGTTGATGTATGCTTGCTTTAAAGTGAATAGGATTGATGATGGGGCTTCATATTTTAGGAAGATGGTGGAGGCGGGTTTGAGGCCAAACTTGGCTGTTTATAATAGGTTGGTCGATGAATTGATTAAAGCCGGGAAGGTGCATGAGGCAAAATCGTTTTATGATACAATGGTGAAGAAGCTGAAGATGGATGATGCCAGCTATAAGTTCATGATGAAAGCACTTAGTGATGTGGGAAAGTTGGATGATGTGCTGAAGATGGTTGATGAGATGTTGGATGAGGAAAGCTCTGATTTTAATGATGAGTTGCAAGAATTTGTTAGAGAGTTGTTAAGAAATGTAGGGAGGGAAGATGATTTGACAAAGCTTATGGAGGAGAAAGAGAGACTGAAGGCCGAAGCTAAAGCTCGGGAAATCGAAGCTTCAGAAGCAGCCAAGAGAAGTGCCAAAGCTGCAGTCGCATCTTTACTTCCATCAAAGTTATTTGGGAAAAAAGAAGGTGAATCTGAGTCATCTCTGGCCGCTGAAAACACCATTGACGCTTCCTCTCAGGGTGAAGTGCCAGAAGAAGATAAGAGTGAAGTGCCTACCGAGGAAGCTACTGCTGTGGAGCCTGTTGCAGATTCTAATGCTGTTGAAGCAAAGCAGCTATTCTGATAAAAATATTGTCTTAAACTGATATTGCAAAAGGTAGCAAGTAATATCTCTATATTTTAATGGAATCTTTTATGTTCATTTATGGGCTCAGTTTTATCTGCTTGTCTCTGTAATTAATGTTGAGATACTTGCTAATGCGCTTTCCACTATGAATCAAAACATCATTTTTCTTAGTGCAAAAAGAAGGTTGGGGAAGAAGATAATTCTTATTGCACGCTTACATAGAAGCTGTTTTGATCGATAACAATATACAAGAAAAGGGTTGGCAGAGAAAAAAAGTGTCATGTTTCATCACCGACCAAACAGAAGAATGTCGTGTAGACAGCCATACCCAGGTGGAAGGCTTCAAAGTGTAGGCAAAAATACTGACCATAACAATTGAATACCCGACAAACAGCAGCAAAAACAAACGTCGATTAAGGCTTATACTAGGAAGATTATTACAGACCACATTGACATTGGATCGTAGTAATAAAAAGATTATAAAACGTACTGTTAGCATACAAGTAGCTTTTGCCACTTCCCGAGGGTTGGATTTCACGTATCGATGATTAATCTTGATTCCCCCGACCAAAGAAACTGAGGGAATGAGGTGGCTAAGAGAGCGTTTGATGAAAACGAACAGATGATGCTATTTGATAATGCTAAAAGTAATGTTGCATTTCATAACTCCGAGGGTGCTGTTTGATAATGTTTAGGTGGTAAATGAACATATCGTTTGATAAACTGTTTTTATAATATTTATTTATGTTCATTTATTAAGTAAAATAAACAAGTATGAATAAATTTTATATATTAATTTAATAAATGAATAAAAGGAACAACTGTGTATTTGATTCGATTATGTTTACGGAAATGTTCATTTATCGACTCGTTTATCTTGTTCTCCTTTTCCTTTTGTTTTTTTTTAAATTTTTAATATTGATGAAGCTAGGTACTAAATTAAACATAAAGTGAACTTTAAAGTTCAAACTATGAAGCCTAAGAAGTTTGAGTACTCACGTAATTTCATTGTTTTTTATATAAGTAAGCATATTTGCGAATATTAAACGAATAGAACACGAATACTTTAAAAAATAAATAAACAAACATGTTACTAAAAATGTTCATAATTTAAATGAACACAAGTTCAACCATTCAAGTTTGTTTATTGTCCTTCTAAATAAAAAACATTATACAGCTTGTTAATAAGAAGCACCCATGGCCTAATGGATAAGGCGCTTGACTTCTAATCAAGCGATTGTGGGTTCGAGTCCCACTGGGTGTGTATACTGCTTTTGGCCAGACTCAGCTCGCGATCATATTTTCCTTGATTATCCTTTATCTGGTCGGACTTGGTATCGAGTTCGCCTCACCTATCACATGCTGTTGAGGATGTTTTGATTGGGAATTGAAAACCGATTCTTGCCTTTTGGACTAATTGATTTCTATACGTGGTGTTGTTCGTCGTAAAATATTTCATTTGATCCGATTAAGAAAATGATTCAAGAAGATAATCCCGAAAAAGGTTAATAAAATTCTTGGATTAATTTCATTCTTATAATGCCATGTGTTGAATACATTGAACTATATTATAAACTGCAAATTGCAAACGGTCCATCGTATCTATCCTATTTATCCATGCACCTAATTCTCCTAACAAAGTTCAAAAACTGCCTAACATTGACATGTCGGACCATGTCAATAAATCGGTATACAAGTCCAACAAGGCACTCAACTTATGACATATTTCTCAAACAACAGAAGCTCTATTAGCCAATAGGATATATATAGATTTATGACTTATTTTCGAACAACATCGTCCGCAAGATGTATGTGAGTTTTAAAATGATCACATTATAATGCTAAATTGACCAAACTAAGAGTATATAGACCAAACCCACTACTTTCACATAATATATGGACTAATAGATGAATTTGACCTATAATATTTTCCTCTCCTACAGCTTCAACAATGGAGAAATGTCTCAGATCCTTGCAAAAGAAAACAACATTTTAATCACATGTACTACACAATAGAATGTTGTCATGGACAATTAATTAACAATACCTTATGAACACGGGAATTACCAATCTGTTAAGAATACAAGGTTCGAAACAATAACAAATTTCCCAATGAGGCAACGGGTTTTTCTGTACAAAATGAACGTCTGAGCATGGATAACAATTATATCAAACACGGGAATGAATGGGACGGTGCCGGGTGTTACCAATCCTCCTTAACGATCTTCGCCTTCTCGAGTATGAACTTCCCTTCCTTATACTTTTGCGAGGCCTCGTAAGCTCGCTCATATTTCCAGCCTAAAACCTGATGGCAATCGGCGCAGTAAATATCGGCCACGGTGTGGAGACCGGTTATGAGATTCCTGTCTTCTTTCGGTCCTGTGGTTATATTCATTGCGTGCGAGAACAAAAATGCTCGGCCATTTCTTCCCTATACGGAACAAAATCATGGAGAAAAAAAAGAATGTGGGGCAAAGGTCTACTAAGATCCTTTCGATTGCTCAAACATGACACTAATTTGAATCTCTGCAATGTTTAATTTGAATCTATATGCAACAAGCTATGCAAATCGGGCAGTTCATTTTTCTCAAAGTTCTCGTGTTCGAAAACCTATCAGACACACATCCAAATTCGAGTAACATAACATAAACAGGTAAGAACCCATATTCAAGCACATGTTCAACAAACTTCACTCCGTGTTCAACACATATTCAAACATTAATATGAGCTATGATCAAATCATGTAAGTGCCTAGATTCGAAACTCACTAAAATTCAGATAACATAGGTCCTTTGTATAAGTTCTTTATAATCTAATAATGATCATATATTTTGAGGGTTTCGGACCCCTCGACGAAATGTCATACAAAACACACGGGAATATCGGGATCGTCGAGGGGTCCAAAAACCCTCGGCAAAATGCAGAAAAAACCTAGCTCAAATCCAAACATTTGGAAACAGAATTTCAGCCATTTTTTAGAGCTCTACCTGGAAACACTTGGAAATTATATCATCGTGGAGAGAAACACGGTTCCGACAATTTGAGCAGCTGTACAATCGTGGACCCAATGATTCCGCCATTGATCAACAACTTTCAAGCTTAAAAACCCTCGATACTGAGACAAAAAGGAAAACGAAAATCAAAACCACAAGCAGGGAGAAACTGAACCAATTTCCAGCAAAAGAAAAGGGGAAAACCCAGTGAACAAGAAAGAGCAAGAAAGAAGACGAACCCCTTTCACCTAAAACGATTCAATGATAGATTGATGAAAAAAAAAATTAAGTATTTGCGTGCAAGACTAAGCCAAAGTGGATTACAGAGATTCCATACATTTTGATTAAACAAATGGGTGGATGAAAAGGACAGGGGAGATGATCTTAATAACATGAATAAACTACAAAAAGAAATATTTCAACGTGAGAATCTTGCGAGAGAGGGATTAACATAGTTCCTTAGCATCACTGACCTGATTTCTGAGGGTGAAAGCTCGGTTTCATCTAATGGGAAGATTGGGGTGTTTTTAAAAGAGATGATTTTGATTTTGATATATTTTATCTCTTCTTTCTCAGACACTATTGTTTCTTGTCGAAGAAAAAGGAGGTGTGGCGGTAATAGGGTTCCACACGCGCGTAACTGGCTGTAGGGGGAATGCATTGTCGATTGAAGTGTGGTCCGCTTTGCTTGCTTCAAGCTTAAACATCCTTCGTGGTGCTGGGACCAGACAGAATAGCGCGTGACGTTAAGGCTGTTGTTTCGATGAAATTTACCATTTCCCCTCGGGTCTTTTCTCCTTGGTCAATCCCTATAATCTATATCCTTTGTTTTTTCTTTTTCTTAGTCCCTATACTATACATAAACCAGCGATTTAATCATGCTTCTTAAATTGATTGCTTTTAAGCTACTCCTAGTCTAGTTTTTTTTAGGGTTTAAGATTTAGGGTTTCATCGATATTATTTCTGGAGATGAAGTGAACGTTACAATGTTCATAGGAGATGAAGTCTTAGTGTTATAACTGGGTGAACAATGGAAAAGACGTACCGTGTTCTTGTCGGTATCCTTAGTACTATAATATTCATCCCATCTCCGAAAATAATTCGTAATATATTTTTTCAACAACCCATAATAAAAACAGTTACCTATTTTAGAGTCAAATTAATCATTTTATTATAATTGAATTTTATCCTTTAAAATTATAAAATTATTTAGATGAATAAAGAGTATTTAATTTTTAATAGTTTCACATTATTATAAAATAATATAAATTCAAAATCTCTCATAATAGTTAATAATATACTCATCTTATTATATAATTACTTGAATCAAAATCTTTGAAACTCTTTGAATGTTGAAATTACATTAAGATTACATGATAAATGTCATGAATTTTTAAAAAGAATATAATTCAATGTGATAAATATATTAAAAGATCTCCCGAAATTTGGGTTTTTGAAGATAAGGGGGACAATATTAATGGTAGGCAGGGAGTGGCTTAAATCCCAAGAAAAGTAGTAGGTCAAATCTACATTATTAATATTATATATATATATATATATACGGTATTTTAATTTAGGGTAATTTACACCAATCATCATTGAATTTCTCTCTCTCTTCTATTTCACTAACTATATTTTAAATCTATTCATTTTTCTCATTAAATTTAATACAAATATCATTTTCTGTCACTCTACCGTTAAAGTTAAAATGACACCGTTTTAGACAAAATACAAATTTCACCAAAACGACGTCGTTTTGCATATATATAACAGCTCATTTATAACACCGTTTAGTGAGAAAACGACTGAGTGACCAAAAATGTTAATTGTGTTGAATTCAATGAGGAAAACAAACGAATTTGAAGCACAATGAGTGAAATATAAAATAGAGTAAAATTTAGTGAAGATTGGTGTAATTTACCCTTTAGGGTTCGTTTGGTTCACGGAATGTAAGATTACCAGTGGGAATAAAAGATTACCGGGGAATAAGATTACTGAGAATGTTGTATTTTGTGTGTTTGGTTGGTTTAGCAGGAATGTAAGATTATCATGTTTGGTTAAAGGAATAAAAAATTATTGAAATGTATATTTGACCAAATTGTCCTTATTATATATTTGTATAATATTACAAATTGTAAAATATATTTATATATTTTCTTTAAAAAATTAAATTCATAATATTTATATAATTTTTTTATAAAATTAAAAATATAAAAAAGGTTTAATGAAAGGGTAAATTTTTTTAACCCCTGAACTTCATATAAAATTTTAATTATAGACTTTTTTTTATAAATCTAAAATAATTTAAGGATAAATTTGTAATTTAACCTTCGTAGAATTTTTATTATTTAATGACAGAAGAATGATATTTTTGAAATAAAAATAAAAATTTAAGGGCATTTTAGTCCAAAACGTCGGTAATGTTACAATACCTAAGGGAAATGAGATAATGACATTCCCGGTAATATACCCCAAAAAATCTACTATTGATAATAAAACATTACCGAGAATGAGATTCCCGGCTAACCAAACATAGGAATGTGGGATTCCCATCCCATGGGAATCCCACAATCTTTGAACCAAACACGGTCCTTGAACCAAACACCCCCTTAATTTATAGGAGTATATTTATTTGAATGACGTCATGGTAGTAAAATTACACATAGTAGTACATTTCAGACATAAATGAAACCCAGTAATCTAGTATTGTTGGAACATCTTAATTTCCTCGAGGATGAACTTGCCCTCCTTGAACCTGTTTTTGATGTCATAAGCTTCAACGTATTTCCATCCCAATTCTTCACCGCACTTGCTGCAGAATATATCAGCAATGCTGAACCGACCCGTCATCAACTGCTTGTCGTATTTCGGACCCAACACCACGTTCATCGCGTGTTGGAACATATAAGCTTTTCCAGATTTGGCCTGTTGATCAAAACCAAAGAAACCATTGATAAAAGCATCATAATCTTCGGTCAGAATCTGGTCGGATTCACAGAAATCAAAGATTGTAGGGACTAACTATGTAATTCGTAGAGAGGAGATCCTGGACGAGAGCGAGGGGATTCCGGCAGCTGCTGCATCGGTACAGGGGATTAGCACTGGACTCCATTGATGTCCACTGAGGCTAGCTTGCTATACAATTAAAACCCAGAATTGCAGATTAATATTTGAGTTAAAAGCAAATAATCCAAGATGCTAACTTGAAGAAAAGAAAGCATACATGAATGGTGAATTTTCCCAGTTCTGCTGCTGAGATAAGAGATGGGAATTCACGTTGGGTGTGGGAATGGTTAAATAAAAGAAAGGTGGCTCTATAAGTCAACAAATTGTTAGAAGAATAATGGTCGAGTAAGGGAGGACATGATTGGTTGGTTAGGTATTCATCGTCATGGTTCCTTGGGGACGAAGTTAAGTATAAAGATAAACCATTTATCAAACAAAGTGGTATCACGGATAGGGGTGTTACTATTCGGTTTTCACCGAATTAATTGATTGAACTAAATTAGTTAGATTAATTCGGTCGGTCATCGAATTAGTTAAGTCGAGAAACGTTAATTTTTGTAATATTCAGTGAACGGTTAATTCGATTCGAAATTGATTAATTAATCGAATTAACTAAAATTATTAAATATTATATATATTAAATCCATATTTTAAGCTCAAAACCATTAAAAATTAAAATCCAAGTATTTTTTAACTTCACTAAATTCATTAAATTAGCAATACCTAATTAAATTTTAACCCAAATAAAAAATATATCTATTATAATCAAATTAACCTAATTAAAAAATTATAAAAAAATTGGTTAATTCGGTTAACCGACCAAATTAACCGAACTTTATTCGGTTCAGTTAATATTTAAAAAAATATATTTAGTTCAATTAATGGTTAAAGAAAAAATTCGATTGATTTAGTTAATAGTAATTCGGTTCGATTGATGACCGAATTATCTGTTTGAACACCCCTAATCTCCAAGACTAAAAACTCTATCCAAGTCTTTATAATAACAGCCTTGTTTAGATTATATGGATTTCTGTTTTATTTTAATATTTAAATATCATATTCTCAAGATGATATTAGGTTAAATGTACGAGATTTTCTTATAAATTTTGGAGCGAAAAAATAATTAAAGCGATATTAACATAGGATAAGACTTGTACAAGAAATAAGATTTAACATGTTTCGACTTTGCTTATTTCTATGGGCGGGATGAACAACATTTAATATAAACTTTGAGAACACGAAGATTATAAATACACGATATTACATATATCCAAAACTCCGGTATAGATACCAAAACTTCTTATAACATCTCTACAAAATTATCTATACAATATAAGCTCAAAAATAACAAAGATTCCAAAAAGATTACATTGGTCTAATTTCTCTCATATAATCTCTATAAGAGTTCTTACATAAAATAAATATTTATTTCATTAAATAAATCTAATTATTAAGTAATCTTTAACCACTAGAATTATAATAAAATTCAATTAAACCACAAAATATAATATAGGTCAAAATATAACAATTTCACTTATAATAATATAATATATTTCAAATATCAAGATGTCACGTGATGACTCGATTAAAAGCTTAACAATAATAGAAGTTTAATTTTGAAATTAAAGAAGTTTAATTTTGAAATTAAAGAATTTTAAAGGGTCGATTGAAGTTAAATAATACAATTATTGAAAATATAAAATAAATTATTTAGACAAAATTATTCATTAATTTATTTAATTATTTTTTTATTAAATTAAAGTGATTACAAAGTAGTATATATTCTACATATTATCAATCATTTGATAATAAACGCTCAATCATCTTGTTACCGTCGTTGATGCTCGAACTCGTGACCTTTAAGAACAACAACAATTCCTTTAAGCATTGAGGTAAGTTGATTCGTGCTATTTAATTATTGTTTAATTTAACTAAAATTAGTTTAGCATATAATTATGTTATTTTACAAATGGAGATAAAAGTGAAGTAAAAGACGAGCCTTTACTAAAGCTCCTCCCTCCACTATAGATATTCACTATATATAAAAACTCGAGATCTGCCTTCAAAAAGTGTCGTCGGTTATTTTTTTTTTGGCTTTGCCTGATGATCGACGAACACATTTCTCCTTTTCTCCTCTAAAGTGTTGTCTAAGACGGCGCCGCTTACCTCTTCAAAAATCTTTACTTGCTTGAATCTTATTCAAGTGTTTTCTCACTCTTTTCGTTGTATCTAAGCTAAAAGACGAGAAAAATGTCCGATTCTTATTGGAGGTATAGCCACTCTCGCCAACCTCCGCCGCCCTCCTCGATCTCTCCCTTCGTCAGCAAACGCCCTCGCTCCGATTACGGTAGTTTCACTTTCTTCCATTCTATTGTATTTAACTTTTTTTAAAATTAAGCTATACATTTTTGTTAGTATCTTCTCAGTTTAGGGTTTCTCGTTTCCCCTTGTTTCAAATTTGTATCCTTTGTTCGGTCATAGAGAAACACGGATAGATAAACAAAAGGAAAATCATTTTGGCGCTAATGTGTGCTTGTTTTGTTCTAAGCCGAAAATTCGTTTTTTTTAATC